GAAACAGTTTTTCGCCTACAAATTCCTTTGGGGGTCTCGTGCGCGGGGTTTAGGCGCGTATGGGAGGATGACACACGGGGTAGGAACATATATCCGAAGTTTCAGCCCCCCAGCTTTTCTGGTTGTCGAGTTGAAAGTGGGTGACAAAATGCACTCGCTTTGCGAATACACACACACACACAGATAGCCTCTCGACACATGCGTTTTTGCTGGCTGTAGCAGCGCTATAGCGCTGCTATAGCGCTGCACAGCAAAAACGCATAACTAGTCTTAAGATCGTTAAGACTGTGAAAAAGTCAGAAGCTTAAACCGTGCAACAAAACCCATTTCACAAAAAATCATTGGCGATGCACACCGGGTGGGCCGTGCGATTACGCGTCTTTGCAGTATTTCGTGCTGTTGCAAGATCGCTTGGAGTTCCAGCATCTAGGATTTACAGCGTTTTGATCCTCGAATTTCAGAAAATTAATTGTACAACTTATGGTACTTGGTTAGGGAACGTCCCCTTAAAATCCCAGCTTTCTGTCTTTTCTGGTCCTCAAGTTAGCAATTTTCTCGCCAAAAACCTTCATTGGGCCGCACGTGAGAATCATGCATACCTGGGGCTGAATTTGAAATATTTAAGGTTGCACACGAGCTGGGAACATTCTCTTAAAATTACAGCCTCCCAGCTTTCCTGGTTCCCGAGTCAGCGATTTTCCCGCGGAAACTTTCACGCGCTCGTACGGGGTTCCAGACGTGCCTGAGGGTTGGTACCGCGGCCCTAGAGTGGCATGTAGCCGGAAAACCCACTGGCAAAATTTTGGCGCCGGAACTTGCTTGGGTGCCAGGTTGAAATACCCGGACAGATAGACACACACACCAGGGTCGTCACAATATGCGTTTTTGCATTTGTATACATGCAACCCAAGCTGGAACGCACCGGGCGAGCCCGTGCGATCATGCGTTTTTGCACCGGACTTCAGTTACTCAGGTCATTAACTGTATGAATGGCTGTTGCTTTACACCTACTTTTTGCGGTCACTAGCATAAATCACCACAAATTTTGCAAAGTAATATATAATTTCCATTTAATAGTCGTTCTTTAAAAGTAACCTAGTTGTTCAGTGAGAAATTTTTTCGTCAAGACTTTTAAGTGCCCGCACGTAAGAACCACGCATATCTCAAGGTTGAATTTGAAATACTTAAGTTGTACTTGGACAGGGAACTTCCACTAAAACTTCAACTTTTTAGCTTTTCTGGTTCTCGAATTAAAATTTTCCCGCACAAGAAAACTTTCTTACGCCCTTACTCGAGCACCACGCACAGATTGGGACTGAATTTGAAATATTTGAGTTGTACTTGGACAGGAAATATTCTCCCA